ATGATAAAATTAGATGCAATGTTTGGTTTTCTTCCTGAATATTATCATTGTTTATATTTACTGCGGGAAGAAACGGTAAAAACTGCGTTTTATGAGGAAAACGCTCAAAAGCACTCAACGCCTGTGAGCAAAGACAACACCAAAAATGAATGTTACAGGTGTTACAGGAGTGATACATCTCCTGTTGTCAGGCCTGCAGGTATCAGGCTGTTGTTCTCCTTTATCTCATAGTGGACAGACATTATTTTTTGGAGTGGCAGAATTAATTTGTGTGGCATCAAATTTGATGCAGAACAGCTGATTGTTCTGTAAATAGTTTAAAATGTTTATTAAAAAAAAAACCCTTGGCTGCATTTTTTAGGTCAACAGCTGCAAAAAACCTGTTTGCAAAACTCTGTTACTTTTTTGAAGAAGTAACTATATAATTAATTGCCCAACATTGGTCATTATATACTGTATTTTGCAGACAGAGAGTTACAGGACTCTCTCCCAGACCACAGACTCATAATACAAGTCAGAGCTTTATATATATAAAAAAAAAAGAAACGAAAAAGAAAAAGAAAGCTTTGTTTTCAAAATTGGAGTTCAAGTTATTTTTACTTCCAGTGTTAACATACTACATAAGTCATGAACAAGAATTTTTTAAATTTTCATTATAAGTGGGATAAAGCAGTTAATTAAAAGTAGTCTAACATAAATGCTGTAATTTGATTATTTTAATAAACCATGTAACTTGGATGGATTCGATGCTGGCGTGACCACAGTGCTCACGTCTGATGTTGCTCACAGTGGTCCAAGGGATCGCTCAGGGAGTTTGTGTGTTCACTCAGACACATGAAAAATTAGAGGGAACATTGCCAGTAACTTCACATGCTTGTTTAAATTCCCCACAGATTTATTTTATTTTGCTAGTTTCATAGGAACATGGCACCATGTATACTGTGCAAAGATACTGAGTCGCCCCTCATTTCTTAGTATTTTGTTCGAAGGAGCCAGACTCGTTTTTTAAAGTGTTCTTGAACAATAGTTTTCCAGGCTTTCTGAAGGTCCTTCAAGGTTTTTCTCTGGATCTTTGCTTCTTTTTCACTCATTTTAAATTCAGTCCCTGTACCTGATTATTTTCATGTGGTTGTTAAGCCATTTAAAACTAACCTGCTGAGTATTAATTGCTGTGGAATTATTTTAAACATGTTAAAATAATAGAAGAACAAGAAAAAAATTAAACAAAAGATACAAAAAATGTTATCATAATAATCTTAATAAACAACCTGTGCAAAAAGGAGAGAAAGTGGATGATTGGTTAAACCCACTATTAATATATAATCCTGTTCTTCCTGTTTGTGCTGTATGCTTTATTAAATCATACCTTAAAATTTGTTACATGTATTTGGTTTTATACCCTCAGTACACATCAAGAGATGCACATATTTACAGATATACACACACATACACTGAAAGCCCTGCTTCCTCCTGCAAAAACTTTGCACTGCATTTTAAACGGAGTCATGCTGGGACATGTTCTGTGCTCATTCTGTTCCACTACTTCACTCCACATACACACATGCAACATCTTTTGAGTTTTGTACAGATACAGGGATGTTTTAAATGTAACTTTGAGCAAAAATGTGAAGGAAAAAAACTATATTTTCAGGAAGTAGGTTGAACTAATTATGTATAACTCAATAAACATCAAAATTCACTAGATTAGCGAATTTGAGTATTTCTGATTAATAATTGTTGTTCTCTTCATCCAGTATTATGGAATATCCTCACGAACCTATTATTAATTCAAGTATAAAAAAGGCACCAAACTAAGGGATGAACCTGTTGTGTCTACACATAACAGACAACTTAGTAAACAACTCATTTTAAACTGTGTCTTAAGGCACTTTGTTACTAGCAGGTGGTTACAAAAACACATAATTTGTTCCCATTCCTTTAGCCGAAGCTCCAAAAAATACCAAAGATAACACAGTTTGACAGACATAAAATAGTGTTTTTGCTCTAACAACTTGATTCCCAAAGACCCGTTGGCACATCTCTGCATGGTGTGCAGTGTATCTTTAAAAAACTGAGAAAACTGGAGGACAAAATAAGAAGTGGCAGGCCTGACAAACTAACTACAGGAGATGAGCAACATCTGAAAGTCATGTTCTTAAAAAATAGGAAAAAATCCAGCAAATACCTGACACAGGACCTGAAAGATGCATCTGGCTTCTAAATTGATCCATCTACTGTTTGTTGAAGAAATGGTCTCAGTGGGAAGAGTGGCTGGCAAGAAGGGAGAAAAGTACAGAAAATTACAGAAGAACTGGACTGAAAATCAGTGACAGCAGGTCTTATGGAGTGATGAGTGCAATTTAGAAAATTTTAGTTCAAATCATCATCAATATGTACAGACGAGCTCAGGAGAGAGGATCAACAGTGAGTTCAAAGAAGACCTCAGGATGTCCTTCGAGAAGCCTGGAGAACTGAGATTATCTGTTTTTTAAAAGTTTTTAAAATGTACTTCAGGTAATTAAAATATGTCAACCCCTGGTTTTAGTTTTTACACAAGTTTAGATCTATCAGAGAACTGGAAGTGCTGGTGGATGAACAGCTGAACGAAAGCACAGTCTGTAGCTTCAGTTAAATGGCTACTGACTGTAGCTTTATATTTCTATTGGACAAGCACTTGTGTCCACAGTGATGATTACTACTACAACACACAAATCTGACCCTCTCATTACAACACTATGCTCTGAAACATTAATATTACTTTGCCATGTACTACCCACCAAAACACTCACTTATGAGTGAGGCAATGATACCACTCCAGAGCAGCAGCCTACCTTATCAGGATGCTATACCGTAAAAACAGGAACTCAGAGCACCAGCCTAGTCTTCAAACTCCCCAGACCTAATCCATAGAGACTTGTATCCCAGAGGACCCAAGTTCCATGACCACAGGACACCCCCAACGGTCCTGTGTCCATACCCTGATGGATCACAGCTGTTCTGGAGGCGCGAGGTGGACCCACACAATATTAGGCAGGTGGTCGCAAAGAAGCTGATGGGTTTATGCCTTATGAAGAAGAAAGAAGAAGCATTCATGAGGGTAAGCCATGTGGAGAAGTTGAATAGATAATGACTCCCTTTTGTGGTTTATCGAGTCATTATCTTGAAGGGGGGAAAAAGGCAGGATTTATCCAAAGAAAAGGTCATAACGGAGTTCATCATTAGGATTCCCTGAGGGGTCTGTGTAACAGTAATCCATCAAGATGCTGCACCTGCAAAGAGACAAAACTGTGAGATGGGATGAAGGATAGAGATCCAACTGCACATGAGAATGCTGCAGACTGGCGCCTTCATGTAGAATAATAACATAATGGCATAATGAATGTAGGCAAAACAAAGAAAAAAGAAGTAAATATGTAAAAGTGATAGTGGAAAAGATTCTGTTGAGACCTGCAGTATATCAAAAATATTATCTTTACTTCACACATATAAGCAACATTTATAAAAACATAAGATATTAAGGAGGAAACAGTGAACTAGAGATCATTGTGTGATTGGATTACACCAGTTTTAGCTCATTTATTGGGAAGTACTCAAGGGTAGGACCACACCCATTTATGAGCTTGACCTTGATCGCTGTATCTGACACGTTTGTGATTTACAAATAAGGTAGACCCTGATTATTCTGTTTTTGGGGGGCCAATTCAAAGAAATCTAATATAAATAGATCAGCTATATTCTGTCTTAAATTCATATCATTTTACTTTCTCTGAAATACCCATAGTGCATTTTCCTGCGTTATTTAAAAATAATACAATGTCTGCACACTGGTGCTGATAAATCAGTGATAGACCATAATAAGCCCATCAGTATGTCCACTGAATTCTATTATAAACACAGGTGAATACTCATTACCACATTTGTGGCTGTTCTGACTGTATCCAAGGCCACATTTTTTGCCACACACACACACAATCCCGACACAGATACACACACATATTTTTTATACTTTTTTTTTCTATGTTTGTATTGTTCAAACCCATGGATACACAGATGTTCAGACCAAGGTCAGCATTGGCTATAGTCAACTAGTTATCTAATTAGTAATAAATTTACTGCTCATGAAAAGTGTCAGAATGTCCATATACACAGACGTACATGCTTAATCCCTCAGATGTAATAGATTGTTTCATTTTCACGGGCTTCATCAATGTTTTAGGAATTGTTTTAAACTAAAATAAATTTAAATCCTCAGAGCTTTGAGAGAGGTGAGTGAGTGAACCTGCATTATTATCAGCTGATCATAGATGGGTTGCTTATCACAGAAGTAGTTCAACAGAAGTAGAGAGATGAGGAGGTAAATATCACTTTTGTATATCTTTGGTGACGATTTTGTGAAATGACAGTCAAGAAGAGCTAAGACTGAAAAAAAAATGCAGCTAGCCTGTCGAAAGGTAATCTGTATCTATCTGGTTGTGGTTTAAAATTTCTGTTAGTGTGCGTTTGAAAAAACAAGTCTCTTATACTTCAGAGTGAATTCTTAGCTTCAGAAGTGCTCTTTAAGTGATCTATTTACTTTCAAACAAAGCAAAGCTACATATATTCAGTTTCAGGCAACATCAGACATCAACAGCTAATCATTGGAGATGCATAACACAGACACAAACGCACACAGGACACACACACATGCATACACATATATAAACCACAGTTTTGATACATGTGGAATTTCCAGCAGATAGCAACAGCAGTTAGAGGGAGCATGAGAAAATAAAGAAGTGTCAGGGACTGAGTGGTCCCAGTAGGAGTATTAGGAGCTGTAACCCAGAAACTTGAACAGTGTCTCCAGCAGATCCCAGGGGCAACATCATCGGTCTCTGTCCAGAAGAGCATAATCCTAGGAACAGGTTAGAGCGCACCGAAACCTCAAACACTCAGGCCAAATAAAGTAGACACTTTTTTTTTTAATCTTAAAATGATTATTTTACTTGTCTTTTTTTTTTAGTTTTACTGTTTTTATTTTAAAATCAGAATTTATATCCACCACAAACGTATATTTAAAACTTGAATGCAAACAGAAACTGGAAGCTGAATTCAAAAACAGATCAAGAAATCCACCTGCTTGAATTCACTCACTATTTCCTTTTGATATTGTACAGGGTTTGAATACTATAACATTTCACAGGAAAACAAAGACCAAAAAAACAATGGCGTCTCTAATCTGTGATTTGATACATATACTGGTTACAAAAATGGAAAGAAAGAGAAAAAACACGCTTGTTAAAAATATGGAGTCATTAAATGCAACATTTTCTAAACACGATTATTATGCAAACCCACAAAAGATGAAACATTCTGAGGTACTGAACGCAATAAATATACAACACCTTAAATGATACACATGTTGCACAACATGCAGATGTTTATTTAAAGCTTGGATTCCAAACACCTGAGGCTGCTGTTGTCGCTGGGGGGCGGGGCTTCAGCAGGAAGCGGAGCAACAGCAGGAAGAAGCACACACTGACCACACTCAGGATGACCACACCTGAGATCAGAGCACTGGTCACTGGGTTCATTGAATGGGAGAGATCTCCAGAGGCTGGAAGATGGAAAGGGAAAGAAACTGAAAACAAGCTCTCGGATGAGGTTTTTACCACGAGCTGAGCCCGAGTCTTTCCCTTGCAGGAACAGAAGAGGGTTTGCTGTAAACAGTCATTTCAAAGGGAATCTGCTGTCATGATAGTTTACAACACTTTTATGTTTCACAACATTGCATAATGGCACTTACCGAGCTGGGAGTTGTTGACAGGAGTTTCATCTGTAAAGCAATTTTTAAAGCGCTTATTGGATTCATTTTTACTTCAGCAGTCCTAATTGAAATCAGCTTTAAATTAGCAGTTTGACATTTCAGGCTGTTGCTTCTTATTTTGACTGGATTGCTGCACTCTCAGCATGAAAGCAAAGCAGCATGTCTCTCAAAACTATTCCAGTAAAAGTGGGTTTATAGTTCATACCACTCCTGGTGATGATTGGACCGGCAGAGAGGATGGCGTTCCCTGATGCTGCTGCCATGGAATCAGGGGTCTCCTCTTCCCTTTTGCGCCGCCGCCCACAGATCTGCCAATCACATCGTCAGATTTCAGTCCTCAGTGAGGTGAGGAAACAGGTGGTGAGTCACAAACGGAGATTTTCACTCTTACAGGCATTAACATGATGCAGTCATCGGCCCGGCAAAGCTTGGTGACGCAGTGCAAAAACACAGTCGACATCTTCTGGTGCCTGTGTTTAACAAAACGGAAAACCTCAAAGGAAAAACGGCCCATCTGGCTCTTCCCGTTCTCCAAAACTGTCGTCTGGGGATCTTTATAGCAACTGTATGGAAGCAGACCCAGCAGAAATGCTAGATTTAATGTCTATGAGTACCCTTAAGAACTCTTTAGGAAGAGAAAACGTGGCATTCAATGAGGATAAGCCATGTGGAGAACTTGAATAGGTAATGACTCCCTTTTGTGGTATCGAGTCATTATCTTGAAGCAGAAAAAAAACGCAAGATTTACCCAAAGAAAAGGTCATAGCGGAGTTCATCATTAGGATTCCCTGAGGGGGTTGTGTAACAGTAGTCCATCAAAATGTTCCACCTGCAAAGAGACAAAACTGTGAGATGGGATGGAGGATAGAGATCCAACTGCACATGAGAAAACTGCAGCCTGGCGCCTTCATGAAGAATAATAACATAATAGCATAATGAATGTAGGCAAAGCAAAGAAAAGAGGAGTAAATCTGTAAAAATGATAGCGGGAAAGATGCTGTGGAGAACTATATTTAAAATATCCTTTCTGCTGCAGTAATAGGTTTGTTATGGTAAAGAGTCTTGCACATCTATGACGTGAAAATTATGGAAATTCAATAGTGAATAGCTGGGTTTTGTGCGGTACCGTTTGTCTAAGTTTGTGGCTTTCACAGCAGCAAATACTCTGGTTTTCAGAGCCAGTCCAGCCATGGGGATAGAGAGAGGCTGATTGTATGCTGAATCCTGGAGAAAAAAGAAAAAGAAAAGTTGATTATTCACTCAAAACGTGGCATAAAGCAAATGAAGACACTGAATCAGTCTTTACATAGCTGGTGTTATTCTATAGTTTTGCTATTTTTCTGCTGTCCAGAGCAATTTTTGCACAGGTCTGTAGCCAAACAAGCATATGTGACATTAATTGTTAAAGAAGGAGCACAATTATATGCAACACGGTGATTATGTTGTTTAAAGTAAGTACAGAGTATTCTAAGCAGTGTGATTTTAAACAGGATTACATCGCAAACCTTTTGTGGAATATTGTTGTTGGTGGAAAAATACATGGGCTATTACAGAAAACCAACTTTTGTTGTTTTCATGGAGTTAGTTGGAAACAGTGAAAATACTCAGCACTGATAATTAAAAGACATTAAAAGATGTTATATGAACATCGAACTGAGGCACTAAAAACAAACCAAACATGCGCATCCAGTCATGTGCCAGTTCTAATGTCTATTTTGTTTCATATGAATTCCTCTGCACCTCTTAAGCTAGAAATGGAAATATATTTTTATTCCAGCGCTGCTTTGTACTCACGTTGTACAGGATCATACTGAGCGTGCTCACAAAAGTACCGTTGCTGTCTTTGACAGACACAGCTGCAGAGGATCTGTGGAGAGACGGAGCCTTTGTGAGCCTTGGCTTAATAAATAACATTTCGGGAGCAGAGGTTTCGATTTAGTACAGTTATAAATCAGCTGCGCTTTTATTTATATACTTGTCTGATTTACGAAGGTCAGAGAATAATATATGTGAATAATAGATGTGAATAATAAAATTAATGGTTTGAAAAAATACTGTGAGGCACAAAGTCACTGAAGCTTTTAAACTGGGAATTTAATTGTTAGCACCGTTTTTGAAAGCTATAAGTGAATCTAATTAAATGAATATATCTTAAAGCCAGCCTTTCAGGATTAACTCTGTAAAGCAACTCCTGCAAGGTGCAGCTCTCTTTTGGACACTGATGGATGCTTTGGCAGAAACTCACGATGCCAGCTGTGAGTTATTGACCAGGTACTCCAGCGGGTAGCTGCAACTGAATTTATACAACAAACCAGGCAGATAGCTGATTATAGTTGGTGGGTCAGGGGTGTCGATGTAGCCTGATATATTCCCAATTTGTACAAGAGACATGTTCCCATAGGCAGTGGGCCCGTAGGCTGTGCTGACCTGCAGAGAGAAACATCAGCCAGTCACTTTGCTCCAACGTCAATACACAACATGATGAAGCTGATTATTGATTAGAATAAAGCCATGCGCAGTGCTCGAGTATTCTTTACCACCAGACTGTTGCCGCAGGCCTCCAAAGTGCTGAGGCTGATGCTGAACAGAAGTGCTGTGGGGAAAGTGTTGTTGTTGATGAAGCCGCGACACTGGGCTTCGCTGTGATGGCCGTTGAGGGCCAAATCTGCGTCGGTGTAGCCGGAGAAGAGAACAGGACAGAAGTTGATCTTCAAAGTGATGGTCTGAACCCCGCAGTACACGCTGATGTCCCTTTCACCTGGAGGAAGGCGGGAGACGAAGGTTCAGAGAGAAAAGTTGGCAATGTAATATTTGAAATCAAGATAAAAATCAAGACATGCCGGTTCATGCAAGGCAGAAGTTACACATTTTTCTAATTAAGACTTTTATTCACTTTTGTACAGGAATTTTAAAGTATGAAATTACTAACCGAGCTCTGTGGAGGCAAAATCAATCAGGTAAATCAATCTAGTGTAATTTTGTAGATCATAGCAGGAGATTGCCTCAAAATGTCTGTATCCAGGAAATGTTTGTCATAATAGGGCCATAAACATTGTAATTAAAATATTCGATGCATTAAATTATTTATGTGGTTCACATGTTTTTTTAACTATAAATGAAGCTTCCAGCTTAGATAGGTAGAAAGGTATTTTGATGATCTATCTAAGTATAAAGATATAACTTTATCGTCCTCAATATTAACTCTCAATAAGGAAATAAATGTTATTAGAAACGCCATCAGTAAAAAAAGCTTCAACCTACCAGAACTATTTGTGCTCATTTTAATGTGGCTGCTACTTTTGCTGCTCATAGATCTACCGTGTTCCACACCTGTTGGCAGACGTGTGTGGACGGCAAAGAGAGAACCTGCTGGGGAGGATTCTCACCTGGAAACCTGCTGTGGTAGTTGGCATCGCAGTTGTATCCATTAAACTGTGTGGAGACTGACGCGGCGTTACTCAGGAGCAGGAAGATAAAACCCATTCGTGTCATTTCCGCGCCTAAGAGAGGTTTGTCCGCTGTCATCTTCAGAAGGTCACCACTGCATTAGCCACATTCCTCAGGTACGTGTTAAGAAACAGCACTTATCTCAAAATTAGATGTTCAAAAACAATGCCTGTTGTTTCCTGACTGCTCCACGGTTTGACCTCTATCAAAGTAGTTCAGCCTTCTTTCCCCACGTCCCCTAATCCTTCTTGTTCTGCTCCCCCTGCACCCTTTTACCTCAGTTGCTCATGTTGGCCTAATGCCTCCATTACCCAACCCCTTTTAAACTGAGGTCACCCCTCTTTGCGGCTCATTTCATCCCACCCCCCCAACCCCACAACCCCCCCTCGGTCCACCCCCACATCTATTATTTTTCCACACCTGTTTACCTGTCTCCTGCCTTTTCCAAAGTAATTGGCTGGAACCCCTCTTCACCTGGTTAGCGATGAGAGAAAAGTTCAACTCTGTGGCATGCAGCTCTAGTGGCACAGAGTACCTAAACTAAACACAGCGTCAGCCTCACATGTATCTCTTGTGTGTGCACAGATGACAAAGATACCTCGACAAAAACCAGCTGCGGTGCAGAATATGGGAAACTCCATCAGATCTGAATGGACTGGACAAATCTTTTCACCATGCCAAGAAACCTGAGCGTACTCAGAGGGTTTCCACTCATCTCTCCACAGTCTGATCTCTGTCTGTCAGATCACACAAACGGTGAGCCTCAGCAGGGGGGGCCCAGCTCAGGAATTAAGCTGTCATCGGCTCCTGCTGCGGCCCACATTCACATCAACATAAAAGTCAACTCACGGTCTGATGCAGGGCTGTGTGTGGGTAATTGTGATGCACAAGACATCACTTAGAGTAAAGGCATTCAGTGGTACAGCTACGGCACAGTGCTTTCAGCATTGCAGAAGGAAAAAGTGGACCCTAGCATGTGCTTTTATGCCGTGTTTCTCTGCCTCGAGATAACCCGCTCACCTTGGATTTTACTGCAGTCCATCTAACAAAACATTATTATGTCGCACTTGTAGCATAACACAAAAAAAACTTCTTCTTCTGAAGTTCCTTGACCTTTTAAAATGATCTACTCAAATTTAAAGAGGTGTAAGAGAGTGTTGCTGAAGTCTTCTGTGATGCTGCTGAGCTCAGTCCAAGCCTGTGGAAAGCATGAATTTATACAAATGGGTCATAAATATGGAAAAACAACTTAAAATATGTATAATTTTTCACGACAGCTGTAACTACAGCATTTTTTGGGAAACATTTTGATTATTGGATTTGGTGTTTAGTGGGTATTGGCAGCAGATCTGCCCATTTTCACCGTGATCGAGGAACATTTCACTCTGTGCAAATATGCAGCTCACTTTGTCCTAATGTTTATGTGGATATAAATAAAGGAACTCAATAAGCTTTACAATATGTGCCATATTTTTCAGAATGCTCGGTTTTGATGCATTCATGGAATTGGTTAATAGGAAAGTTGGTATATTGGATTATTGGCAGACTGTAAAATACCTATGAACAAGGCACAGAGAAGAAATTGCTTAAAAATTAATCCAATTTGTGACTCATTTGTCAGACAATCAATGTAAGTCTGGTTTGCTGTAGTTTATGAACAAAGTGACAACAATTTTCTATTTTTCCTTCATATTATTTCTTTTCCATCTGTGTCTTTCCTGTAGAGGAAAAAAAGGGCCAAATATCTCAAAGCAAATAGTTTCATTGCTTTTTAGATGAGCAGAAATAAAATAAATAAATAAACTGTACCCTGCTGTCCTCATTCCTTTCTCTGAGTAATGACAAACAAACAGATGTGGAATTAAAGCACCTTCAGTGGTGTCTGAAGGGCCTTGAAACAGTCACATGCTTAAGATTGCTGAAAGTTGCTTATAAAATTCATGCTCGTGCAGTTCCCTGAAACAGAAATGTTCTAAACAGGACATTACTTGTCCTGGAGTCTCAGAAACACTTTGAAAAAATATTTTGGATACAAATTCTTGGAAGCATATTAGTCACAAGCTTTTCGATGGGTAAATCAATCATTTCAATACCCTCTTTTCATGCTAACAACATCCACCAGTCTACCCGGTCTGCATGTCGAAGTGTTCTAGCCTCCAAGTTGCCCACAGAGTGTGCATGATAGTTGGAAAGTGCTTGAAGGCATAGGATAAAGTGCAGCATGAATGTGGCCTGTGGTAAAAAAGAAAAAAAGTACTTTGAGTGCTCTGAGTAGAAAAATGCTATAGAAATTCGAAATTATTTACCATTAGTGGCCTGAGTCCTGAGTGGAGATATCTGGGATGTCCTGGCATCACAAATGGAAAGGGAAGTTGTGTTGATGGCATACCGTGTGGTAACATAGATCATTTCAATGTTACTCCAGGGATGATTTTATTGTTTTGTTTAAATAAAGAGAACTGTGTGATTGACCTGTGGTCATATCACCTGAGCCCAAATGCCGTGAGCATCAAGTGTTCAATTCCCGGCCAAGCAAACCAATGCATGCAATCACTGCACGTCAGCCCCGCTCTCGCTTCTCGGATCTCCCCTCTCTGCCCACTGTCCACAACTCTGAAACTCTCTGACTGTTCTCTGGCTCTGGCAGTATTTTTAATTGTAGTTTTTACATTTTTAGTTTTAAGAGCCTTTAAATAAATCCTTGACTACTACAAACTGAGTTTCACAAAAAAAATAAAAAATAAAAAACGATTATGTGGAAAAATAAATATTTTGTCCAGGTATTATTTTTGATTTGTATCAATCTAATGGTCTGGGTAAAATTATAATAGACTACATTTAATAAGAAATATGCATACACAGTCATGGTAAAGTAAATCATCAAAGTAAATACAAACTGAGAGCAACATGACATATTACACTGTGCAGCTAGTTCTTTAATAACAATAAGAATGAGAATAACTTTATTGATCCCAGAGGGAAATTCATATGTTTCATATCTCATAATAAAAACAAAAACAAAATTAAGATGCATTGTGTGAATAACTAAATACATCCCTATGATCCAATAGCTTGTAGAAGCAGCAATAACGTTCAATGATATTTTTTTGCTTCTGTTTGACTTTATCAGTCTCTCACATCGATGTAGAGGAATTTTGGCCCACTCTTCTTTACAACATGACTTCAGTTCACCGAGGTTTGCAAAACCTTGATTCTTTTCTTTTTCAGCAATTCTTTGTGTAGATTTGCTGCTGTGCTTGGGATCATTGGCCTTTTGCATGACCCATTTTCAGCCAAGGATTAGCTGTCACACAGATGGCCTCACATTTGACACTAGAATACTTTGGTATACAGAGGTGTTCATTGTCGACTCAATCGCTGCACGATTCCCAGGTTCTGTAGCTTCAAAACACGCCTAAATCACCCCTACACCATCGTGCCCGATCTGCTGTTTGGCTTTCACTAAACGTGGTTCGATACACTATATCCAAACATCTCCACTTGTGTTTCTTGTCTGTCCATTGTTCCAGCTATAGCTTTGCAAATCAAAGCTCTACTGCCATGCTTTTTTATTTTAGAAACCCTTCCAAACGAACCACACTTGTTCAGTCTTTTTTGAATTGCACTGTCATGAACTTTCTTTGAGCATTGTACGGTCTGACCTTGGGGTCAGTTTGCTGGGATGTTCACTGCTGTCAAGATTGGCAACACTCTTCAGTGTTTTCCGATTGTGAATAATCTTTCTCACTTGTAGAATGATGGACTTTAAATAGTTTGGTAATGACCTTATAACCACTCCCTGATTGATCGCTGCTGTAAGATCACTGCTGATATCTTTCCTTCTTGGCATTTTGCTAGCCCACACCTGAATGCTCCAGACCAACAAACCAAAACTTCTGCTTTTATAGAGGTGCTCAGATTCACTGGTGAGCAATTAATCAGTTGCATTTAATTACCAGCACCTGGCACCCTTTTAATTCATATGGAAACAGTAAGCGTGTCCTCAGTTTTTTATCCCCTGCTTTGGCATTTTGTTTCAGTTTTTATTAAACAAATGATGACACGTTGTAATATGTCATATTTTGTAGTTCATCGGGTGTTGTAGTTACCTATTTTTACACCTGCTTAGGACCAGAGTGATTTGCTGTACTGTCCTGACACAAATAAAGAGTATACTTTTTTTTTTTTACTGACTGTATATCAAAGCATTAGATTTATTCATTCAAGCTTTTTTTGCATGAGCTCATTGAAACATTATATGCTTTGATTGTTATTCCCTTCCTGCCCCTAATATTGTTACTGTCGTCTAAGACATGTAATGTATGTCACCTGGTTCAGGCACATCCTGCTCTGTGGTTTTATGTGTCAGATCCAGACTCACAGCCCTACACAGCTTGCTGCACGTGTTTGCTATCCCCCCCCTGCCTTTCTGATAAGGTAGTGCTGAAATACAATATGAATTCTGAGCAAAACAAGATCAGATGCCCACGTATCCTGCTTTTTTTTGTGTTTTGTTACAAATCCCACCCAGCAGATGACCTATTTAGCCAGTACACTGTGCGTTCAGTACAATTCTTTCTTAAAGATGCAAGATTAAACGAAATATCTCTCACCAGTGTGTGGAAATACATGGTGGCTGGTTTTCAAATCTGGCATCAAAATCACTCTTTGTTAAACATCAATGAACTTTCTGATCCTTGCCATAAAACCACGATTTTCTGTGCAGCCCTCATGAGCTTTGCGAATGATTTCTTCAGGTCACCATGTCCAGAAACTTTTAATGGCTCGGGACCACCTGCCAAACTTAGATCTGCCTGATAGAGCCGCGTCTATCTGATCAGCCTGAAACACCCAGACTCAACAAACAGACATCTAAATCACACAATCTGGGCTGAAGCACAAAACCTGTGAGAGTGCGGCTGTAATCTGATGCTCCAGTTTTAACGCAGGCAGGAAAGTGAAGCCTTCATCAAAGGCCCTGCTGCGATTTGATCCTCGGTGAGTAATGTTTGCCAAAGCCAGGAAAAATCTTTATTTTTTGACAACAGCAGATGGACAGGTTCATAATGCATGATTAAAAACGTGACTTATAGTACAGATGAAAAAAAGAAAGAAAGAAACTAGCCAATGATTATTTATAACTCTCTGCTAATACAGATGATTAAGAGCTTGTCTGTGGAAGTCATCTCACTGACGGCAAGTTTTTATGTGAGGATATGTTTACAGAGGCTTTTGTCCGTTTCCTTTGTTTGGCTGAAAATGGGAAAAGTCCCCAGTGGGGT